CCCGCCCCCCCCGCCCCCGGGTCCCCCCCGGCCGGGCGGGGCCCCGCCCCCCCTGCCGCGACCCACAGCAGCCTCCCGGGCGCTGCAGGATCCCGGGGGATCCGGTGACCCCATGGAGGATCTGCTATGACCCAGCACAGCTCTGGCCCCACCCGCTGGGGGGGATCCAGTGTAGCTAGCATGGAATCCAGTGTGATCTGTTGTGGGATCCAGCATGACCAGCATGGGATCCAGCTCCCAACAGAGGATCGAGTGTGACCCCGTGACTTGCGCAGATCTACCAGGAACCACTGCGGGATCCCGCGCAAGCAGCCTGGGATCCAGTGCCCAAGAAGATCTCTTATGATTCATTAAGGGATGTCAGACCCTGAAGCAGGATCCACTGCGACCCAAACCCTAGGCAGATCCACTGCAATCCAGTGTGGGATCCAGTGCCAGGAGGAGGATCAGGCGTGCGCCAGCACCCGAGCAGATCCACTGCGATCCGGTGCAGGGCGCAGTGGCGGGAGCACAATCCGGTGGGAGCCGGCGCCCAAAGCAGATCCACCGCGATCCGGCGTGGGATCCAGCGGCCGGAGCTCAGTCCGGAGGAGAGCCAGCGCCCCATGCAGCTCCGCTACCACCCGGTGTGGGATCCAGCGGCTGGCGCGAGCCGGCGCCCGAGCAGATCTGCTGCGATCCATCCTGGGATCCAGAGGCGACGGGAACCCATGGGCCGCGACAGCTTCTCCATCTCCTCCTTGTGCACCGACTCCGACTCCTCCAGCACCCGCCGCTGTGCTGTCTCCTTCTTCAGGAACTCGATCTCCCTGCGGGGGCCAGCGCGTGGGTGCATGTCACCCCCACCCAGCACCGGGGAGACCCGGGGGAGGGGGGCAGATCAGGGGGACCCCGGGACTCGGGTGTTAGGGAGGGACTGTGCTCAGTGGGGTGGTGGTGCCCAGGGATCTCCCAGGGGATGGTCCATGCCCAAGGACGAGGGGTGCGCAGGAAGGAGTGGGTGCCCCAGGGGTGGGTCAACGTCAAGGAGAAGGTCCCTGCCCAGGGGATGGTCCCTGCCCAGGGATGAGGGATGCCCAGGAAGGAGTGGGTGCCTCAGGGATGGGTCCATGTCAAGGGGAAGGTCCCTGCCCAGGGGATGAGGGGTGCCCAGGAAGGAGTGGGTGCCCCAGGGATGGTTTCGTATCAAGGGGATGGTCCCTGCCCCGGGGGATGAGGGATGCCCAGGAAGGAGGTGGTGCCCCAGGGGTGGGTCCATGTCAAGGAGAAGGTCCCTGCCCAGGGGATGGTCCCTGCCCAGGGGATGAGGGGTGCCCAGGAAGGAGCGGGTGCCCCAGGGACAGGTTTCTACCCAGGGGATGGTCCGTGCCCAGGGAACAGCTCATGCCCAAGGGGTGGTCCATGCCCAAGGGCAAAGGGTGCCCAGGAAGGGGTTGGTGCCCCACAGGTGGATACACACCAAGGGCATGGTCCATGCCCAGGGGATGGTTCATGCCCGATGGCACGGTCTGTGCCCAGGCACAAGGGGTGCCCAGGAAGGGGTCGGTGCCCCAGGGATGGATCCACACCCAAGGGATGCTCTGTGCCCGGGGAAGGATCGGTGCCCAGGGCCCGGCGCTGCCCTCACTTTTGCTGGTACTCCTTGATGAGCCTCTTGGCCTTGCTGTACTTGCGCTCCAGGGTCTGGTACTGGGCCTGCGTCTCCTTGAGGTGCTCGTCCACGGCCTGGCAAAGGTTCTGCGCCTCCATCCAGTACCCCTCCAGCTTCTCCATCCGCTCCTTGTTCTCCTCCACGCTCTGCTCCAGCTGGGCCTTCTCGGCCCGCCAACGTGCCTTCTCCTGCTCCAGGCACTGCAGCTGGGGGACAGCGGGGTCAGGGCACGGCACGGCATGGCACAGCATAGCCAGGGAGCAGGCATGACATGGCATGGCACGGCATGACACCACACAGCACAACACGGCGTGACACCACACGGCACAACACGGTGTGACATAGCATGGCATGGCATAGCCAGGGAGCAGGCATGACGTGGCATGGCGCAGCCATGGCACAGCATGGCACGGCACAGCATGGGGAGGGGTCTGGGGGGGGAGATGTGGGCAGCTAGGAGGGGATGGGGGAGATGGAGATCCAGGGGGGTCTGGGGAGACGGAGGGGGGGTCCCTCCCACCTGCAGGGAGCTGGGGCACCCGGGACCCGCTCACCTTCCTCTTCAGCTGCTGGATCTCGGCCTCGGTGACGGCATGCTTGATCTGGAGCTGCGAGAGGAGCCGGGCGTTCGCACGGAGCGGGCACATCCCCCCACCGCTCCTGGGCGTGCACGCACGCTGCCACATGCGGGCACGCTCCCCTGGCACCCCCCCGTCCCCTCCTCACCTCCTTGAATTTGTGCACCAGCTTTTCGGGGTCCATCTCCACAGGGGAGAGCGTGTCCTCGTTCTCAGCCAGCTCGAACACCTCGATGGCCATCTCACCACTGGGGAACATGGGGCTCATCTCCTCCTCCTCGTCTGTGGCGTACTCGCCCGTCTGCGGAGGGCACGGAGTGCCGTTGGCACCTGGTGACCCCCAGCCTGGCACCCCCACCCCATCCCACCTGGGGAAACCGAGTCACCAGCCCTGTACTGGGTGGGGGGACCACGTCCGTCCCCTCCTGGGGTGGTGCGGTCTCCCTCACCTCCTCGTCATCCTCGGTGTACTGGGTGTAGCGCTGCTCGATCATCTCCCGCTGCCACCGCTCCTGTTCCAGCGTCTGCTGGATCAGCTGTGCCACCTCGCTCTGCTCCCCCGGCTTCTCCCGCCCGATGAGGAACCTGTGGAGATGGCGGGGCTCAGCTGGGGATGGGGGTTCTGACCGTCGGGGGTCTGGGGTGGGGGACACCCAGGTGGCACAGCTGGGGGACATCCCTGCTGGAACTGGCAGTGCTCCTGGGGGTGGCAAATTTGGGGGGGATGTTATGGGGCCTGTGGATGAGTTGGGAGGCTGTGGGGATCCTGGGCTGATGTGGGGGTATTTTGGGGGGCAGAGGGCACCGGGATGGCACAGGGCAGGCAGTGGGCATGGGCATTGGGGGAGGCAGAGGTATTTTGGGGCAGGAGGACAGCCCAGCCTGGGAGCTGGGGTGCTCTGGGGACAGGCTATGGGGCAGGGTGCCACAGGGGACCCAGCACGGGCTGTGGGGCTCTCCCAGCCCCCCAAACCCCCCGGCCTCAGGCCCTACCGGACGCGGCCCTTGGTGTTCCTGAGGACAGAGGCGGCGAAGCTCTGCGTCACCCCCACCAGGCTGGTGCCGTCCACCTCCACAATGAGATCGTTCACCTGGATCCTGGGGACAAGGGGACCGTCACAGCGGGGCCACCCCTTGCCCACCTCCCCGGCATCTCCCACTCTGAGGAACATCTGGCACAACTGCCTGCTCCCACACCAGCTCCTCCACCACCACCCAAGCCCATGGGTGTGTGGCAGTGGGGACCCGGGTGGGTGTTTTGGGCCGGGCAGCCCTTACCTGCCATCCCGGTGGGCCGCCCCACCCTCTGTCACCGTCTTGACGAAGATGCCCAGCTTCTCCAGGCCCATGTCAGCCCCCGCACCCATGCCGATGATGCTGATCCCCAGCCCTTCGGAGTCTGCAAAAACAGAGAGCCGTGTCCTGGTGGGGTGGCAGCGGCCACCCAACACCGATGGAGTCACTTCCAACCCGTCCCCAAGGTGCCGCGGGGGGCCCGGGGTGTGGGGCCAGGTGAGGACTCACCTTTCTCCAGCTCCACAGGGAAGAGGTCGAGCCGCTCCACCCTCTTCTCCAGCTCATACTCAGCCGATGCAGCCATGGGGTCGACGTCTTCATTGCGGCGGTCATAGTCTTCGTTGGAGTAAGTGCTGAAGACCTGCCGGGGCAGAGGGAGCTGCTCAGCGAGGCAATGGGGTGGGAAAACACCGCAGCCATCCACCGGCCCGGCACCCACAGACGAGGGGGCATCCTGGGGTGGGGGGAGCCCCGGGCAGGGGCATGGGGGGTGTTACTGAGCCTATGAGACACTGGAGAATCCCCCCCAAAGTCTTGTCATGGAGTGAGGGGGATCTGAGGAAGCACCGAGGGTTTGGGGTGGCCCTGGGAGCAGAGATGGTGCCGTGCCCTGCACCCCACAGGAGGATGGATGGGGGGATGGATGGACAGGGATGGACGAAAGGGTGGATGGATGGAATGGCAGATGGATGGATACATGGATGGATGGACAGACAGATGGAGGAAGGGGGGGAGGGAGGGATGGAAGAATGGATGAATGGGTGGAAGAATGGAAGGCAGGAAGGATGGAAGGAAGGAAGGATGGACAGAAGGACGAAAGGACGGACAGAGGGATGAATGGATGGATGGGTGGACGGATGGATGGATGGATGGATGGATGGGTGGAGAGGTGGAAGAATGGAAGGAAGGAAGGAAGGATGGATGGATAGAAGGATGGATGGGTGGATGGATGGACGGATGGACAGAAGGATGGATGGGTTAATGGGTGGGTGGATGGACGGATGGATAGAAGGGTGGGTGGATGGATGGATGGATGGATGGATGGATGGACGGATGGATGGATGGATGGATGGAAGGAAGGATAAGCGGATGGATGGGTGGATGGATGGGGTGTGCAAGCACTGGCTGCTCTCAGTCACACAGCTTCGGGAGGGCAGAACTGGCTTGGTCCCCCCTGCTCCCCTCACCCCTTCCTCAGGCAGGGGCTCCCCAACTCTCAGCCCACCACCTTCTCCTGGTCCAAACTGCCCTGTGGGCGCGGGCTCTCCCCTTGGGGCAGCCTCACCTCCTCTGCCCTTCCCTGCACCTCACCCCTGCCTGGGCACCTCCGCACGAGCCTGGGCTGCCAGCGCGGAGCCCGGGGACCCAAGCCCACCATCGTGCCTGGGAGAGGTAAATCCCACCATAAGTTTGCGGGTGGTTTATTCCCCTGGGTTTCCACCTGGCAAGTTCAACTTCTGCCTCCATGTGTTTGCCTGGAGGGATGCCTGGGCACAGGGAGCAGCAGGGACTCTGTGGGCCTCGGAGGTCCACAGGTCACCTCCATCCCCAGGTCTCCGTCACCCCCATCCCCAGGTCTCCATCCCCCCTGTGCCCACCTTGCCCCATCAGGCTTCACTTGCAGGGTGCTTGGGCACTGAGGAGGGGTCAGCCTCGGGGCTGGGGCTGCCCCTGTCCTCCTGCGGGTCTGGGGACACAGAGGTCCCCAGCCACCTTCAGTCCCAAGGGAGCAGGGACAGGGATGCCTGGGATTGTCGAGGCCTCATGGCAGCCCCCCGAGGATGGGGAGGGGATCCAAGCAGGGACAGCTGGTTGGAGCGCGATGCTGAAAGGCAAAGGTGGTCGAGGACACGCATGAATGGTCCTCTAAAGTGGTAAATCCCTGGGGACGCTGACCCCTGGCGTGGGGCAGCCCCAAATCCTCCCACGCTGGCTCAGGAGGGGCTGGGGCCACTCCACGCTCACCCCGAGGCTGGGTGTCCCCGTGCCGGGCACCAAGGTGCTCCTGGCCAAGGCCAGACGTGCCACCAGGTTGATGTCCCCGGCCCAGAGCTGGAGGGAATGGGGTGCCACGTCCCTGCACCCCGGGAGGCTGCCAGCACCCCTCCGGGTGCTGAGCCTGGCAGATGTCTCCGGAGGGGCCCTGGCCCAGCAATGCCGCCGGGGCGAGTGGATTAGGGATAACAGCGCAGTGCTAAAGCCTCGCAACAAAGGGTATTAGGGATGAGTGTCAAGGGCCATCGTACAAAGCCCAGTGACACCCAGAGATGGGCAGGACCCACCCGGGTGGCACCCAGGGGTGCCGGGGATGAGCAGGGCAGGGGACGTGCCTCCGCCCCCCTGTCCACACGTGAGCCCCCAGCCGCAGGCACACATCCCGCCTCACCCTGCTGTGCCCCCCACCCCTGTCCCCGGGTCCTGGGGGTTTGGGATGTGCTGGGGGTCTAGAGTGGGTTCCAAGGGAGAAGCAGCCAGAGCCAGCATATGCCCAGGGGAAGGGGCTGGTGGTGTGTGTCCCCATCCTGGGTACAGGGTGCCTGCTTTGGGGCCCTGGGGCTGGGTGGGGGTCCCCAGTGCTCCCGACCCCCACCCCCACAGTGGGTTTGGGGGGCTCAGCATCACCCATGCACCCGGGGTGGCGGG